TTTCCGGACTGCGGCGGATGGGAACACCAGAGTGCCGCGGTGCCCGGTAATATCTGCAGGGTGAAAAACTACATGCAAAAAGTATCCTTCCCAAAGAACTCTTTTCGACGATTTTCACTTTAGTTTTCCTTTACACTACTGACAAGCCCCACTTCATCCTCTTGCTGGTGGAAAACGAGCTGGCCGCACCGGCTGCGGAGGAGACTGCTCCTGTGGCGCGGCCGTGAACAGGGCTCTTCCCGCCGGCTGCGGCTTAGCAATGTGCACACGTGCGCCTCCAAGCCCGCTGGTTCTGTGTCTCCCTGGGCTGCTTCCCTCGTCTGGAGCCTGCACTAATGACAACTACTTTCTTCATTTGCTTCCAGCCTGTGCATCCCAGGTGGGTGAGCCTGCGTGTGGATCTGTGCCCTGAACTTTGCTGGACGTACCTGCTCCAACACCTTCTCGTGGTTCCTCAGGATTTTCTGTGTAGAGAATCATGTCATTTGATCCGTTCCTTAGTCCTCAGGGTCTCCTCCTCTCGGCACTTACCGTTCAGCTGCATTTTCCCACCCGGCTCATTCCTCTCCCCTCCGAGCACGGGAGCCGCCCAAAAGCTCCTTCAGGCCAGCAGGGCCTCGGCGCTCTGGCCCAGGCGCCCGAGGGTACCGGGGCAGGCAGGGCGGCGCCATTTCTCCAGGGGCCTGCAAAAGCAGAAGCCAAAGTCCTGGCCAGGGGCTTCCAAAGCTGCCCAAGACTGGCCTCAGAGCGTTCTCCCCTTCGGCTCAGAACATTGTCCGAACGGTTTGCGCAGCTAGAGAGCCTTCTCAACGCTTGCCTCACTAATTCTCGTCTCCTTCCACCTTTGCTCAACACCCCGCGCACCGGGACTCTGCTCGGCCCCGCCAGGTGGCCTGCCCCCTCGCCACTCCCCGCGACCCGCCAGCTACGGCCTGGACACCACTTATCGTGGGTCGCCGCTGGAGGAGGCGCCACAGGGAGGGGCGGTGTCTCTTCTGTTCATGGCTAAACAGAGCCTGTCAAGAAAAGATGCCTGGTAGTTCCGAGTTTTCTCCCACTACCGACTCACACCCCGGTGGAGCTACGAGTTCTGTTACAAAGCGGGAGCAAAATACATCAACTCAAAACCAGTCCAGTGCGTCTGCTTCGTTTGTCTCCAAATGAAAAAAGGAGGCAAAATACAGGTCCATCAAAATCAACTGCACAGCCTGCCTTCGCCGACGCCGACGGTCAGGAAGTGCGCAGGGCTGCCAGCGAGCTGCAGAGGACGCAGGCGGCTCCACAGCGTCAGACTGGCCGGTGCCCGCGCCTGCTCAAGTCAGGGACTCAGGCCCACACGCAGGACAAGGCCTGTGCGCACGCGCACCTCGGGCGGCGGCGGGGCACCACCCCCCCAGACGTGAAGGCGAGAGGAAGGAGGGCGGCGAGAGCCAAGGGGCAGGAGACGGCGGTCTACAAAGACACATCAAGCTTACGAAGGCCCCAGACTGAGGAGGGGCTGGCACGTGCGGCCTCTGTCATGAGAAGCGTCTTAAGTGCAGAGCTGCCAGCCGCTGCTTGGGGGAGTTAGAGGCTGCGGTCGGGGGAGTGTGATGCCGACCCTCTTCAGCAACACTACTCTGCTCTGCAGTACTGTTTCAGTGAAATGGGAAATGGCTACCATTCCCAGGTTCTCTCAAAATTATTCAATTATTAAAAAAAATCAAACTGAAGAACTGAAATAAAAGTATGGCATGAGTTTTGGCTCAAAACTATTCTGACCCTATCATTCCCAGCGGAAGACTGCCCAGTGTCAAAACAGAAACTTAAGACATTATCTCCATGAAAGCTATTGGAACTGATCTTTAAAAATCTCTATGACTGCTTAAAATGCTTACTGAAAAATCCAGAAATAAAGTTCCATACTAAAATATTTCAATGGTTGTGTAAAGTGCTGTAATAAAAAGTAGACAGAAAATCCTTATCTACAGTTTTTACTTTACTCCCTTTCTTCTTACTAAATGTATGTTAGCAAAAAAAAAAAAACCTTCCAAAGATCTAGATAAAAGCTTTTAGCTCAACACATAATTGCATGAAAATTACAATAATTGTACCAATTAAAATAATCTTGAATGAACAGTATGTCATCTTAATGTTCCAGTGGCTTATAGAGGGATCCACTTAATTAGCTGAAATTGCTTTCCAGTGTTAGTATCAAATGTCATTTGTTAAAAGTTGAACAATTTAGAAAATAATTTAACAAAGCAATTTCACCAAACACCAAGAACCAACATTTTCTTTTTCAGCTGAATAAAGCAAGCAGATGTGTCATCAAATCACTATAAAAATAAATGAGGCTTTTTATGGATTAAAAAAATAAATTTTACTACCAGCGTTAAAAATACTATTTTCTGTTTTTACCAAATCGGATTTCTTTAATAAAATAAATGAGTATCAATGATATACTGCTGCTTTTTGTCTGCTGTAAATAAAACTTTTTAAGATTCAAAGGACAAGCAACAGCATCAAAGAACTCAACCATGGTCAGCTAGGGACAGGCGCGGGGCTCTCCAGGACCCCAGAATGTGCGTTTCGACACGCGGCCACACGGGGTCCCTACAGTTTTCATTTCCAGTCTTACTAAATTGTATTGCTTTGAGTCAGCTCCTGGATGAATCCTCGAAGATACTTATTAAATCGCCTTTGATCTCCCGTGGATTAGCCGTGCAACATCCTCGGAGGTGGCTCTCCGCACACAGAATATAGTTGCACCCGGGGGACAATCGGGCATCTTGACATGAGCCTGAGCGCAGCGCACGGCCGACGACCGCTGCCAACGGGGCCGCCGCCGCCTCTCGCTGCACGGCCGCCCCACGGCGCGCTGGTGCGCGTCTGCCTCTGCTTGGCCGGGGCGCGGGGCCAGAGCCCACCACGTGGACCGCCGTCTGCCCAGCCTGGGCGCGGTGGGCGGCACCGCTTGTGCCCGGCTGACGCCGGCATTTTAAGCAAGCACAGTTTTTAAAGGTCAGTTCCCATAGTTTTCATGAAGACAATGTCTTAAGTTTCTATTTGACACCGTTTCGTCTCCTGCTGGGAATGATATGGTCAGAACAGCTGAAAGAACAGACCAAGCACACCAACCCACAGCCACTAGCGGTTCAAATCCGCCTTGACACACCTGTGCGCGCCCTCCCTGCGTGTCCTCGTGTGTGAGCGCGCACGCACTTACGTGTCTGCGCAGACACCTGCGAGGCTCGCAGGGCCCTGAAATGTCCTCAGCGCTCCCCCTTGCCTTCCGACGTGATTCCAGGGTTCACACCCTGCACTCGCACCTGGACTCTCCACGTCCCCGTTAGCAAATCAGTCACCCCGATGACGCCCCAGCTGCACTCATCTGCCTGTTGCCCCGCACTGAGAATCATGGTGAAACACCCCACAGCCGCTGCCCTCCACTGCACTACCCAGGGGCGCTTGACGCACGGGCTCTGCATCCGTGTGGTGACTTCAGGCCTGGCCCCCGTACGGATGTGGGGACACCCAGTGCTCTCCCTATGAGCGCACTTCCTCTCTGCAAGTGTGTGAGCATCTTGTGCCCCCCTCACCCTGCCAGTGTTGTTTTTTAAATATTCATTCATTTATGCATAGAAGAATTAGGGTGCAGAACAGAGGCGCTGGAGGTGAGTGGATTCACCAGAAACAGAGTGGGGAGCAGAGCAGGCATAACCACTGAAACACACTGCTGAGGGGAGCAGCGGGGGGCAGCAGGGGTCTGCTGGCCGGGGATCGAACTCGGGTCGCAGGGGCAACGCGCTGGGACTCGCTGCCCACGCCACGAGGGAGGCCCTGGCGGCGGTTTCACAACCACCATTTGTTATACTTGAGGTCGAGAAAAGGTAACTCCTAGTTCAATGTATCCCTTCTACAGTTCCAACTGACCCTTTCCTATGAGACAGCGGTTTGTGTTCAGTACGATCAATACTATTTAGCTTAAAAAATAATGCCTGCCTATCCTGCAAGCCTTCCTAATCACACAGAGCCTGCGCTGCGATGCAAACGCCTTCTCATGACATAAAATGACACTCCGCTGCCCAGAGACACCCCAGCGCCAGCCTCACTGCAGTGCCGACAGGGCCCTGTGGAGGGCGCAGCTCGGGCCTGCTCCCGGGCGCTTGCCACAGCCCAGCAGGTGGCGGCGAGCTCATGGAAGACCCAGCGTTTTGCACCTTCTAGAGCAAACCCTGGAGAGCACAAATCTGCAGACTGGCGCTCCAGCCATTTCCAGGGCTACAGCGATCCGCACCTGTCAGGTGAACGTGGACGGTGGGGCTGGTAACAGGGGCATTACAGGCGGACAATTCTCGAAGAAAAACTATTTGAAATCTTCCAAGTTTTAAGCCAGGAATCACACACTAAAGGCTTTGCTGGATTTACTAATCATTTACAGATTTAAAACAAGTTTTAATTATGCCCAGTTCCATAAAATTGCAAAGTTGCTTGTAGGAGCTTGCCTCTGAGAGTTATTTAGAGTAGCAAGTAAAAACTCTGAAGGTGTTAAATGTTCTGATAAACAAAAGGGTTATACTCTTACTTGTGAACTTCATAACGAATCAATAGCTTAAAAATACATATCTGACATTTCAGAGTCTCAACTGCATGTCTTTCAAGAGAAAAATAGCAACTCTTTATCAGAAGCAAAAATGTTGCAAGTACTTTCAGTGGCTGACTCTAAGGGAGAGTGAGCCCCTACCACGGAAGGCAAGCGGTGTTTGTGCCGGGGCTCAGGGCAAAGCTGTGCAAATACCCGCGCCGTGATTTCTGGAAATAGTCTCCTAACAATCCTTGAAGGCAGAATAAAAACTAAAATGGCAACAAACAGCTGTTTTCAGGTTTGCACTTCACATCTATACATCCGCGAAGTCAACGTCTTTACCACCCTGGTCGTTCCGGAACAAGGAGGCGCACCTCCAAACAGCTGTACGTGCTCCCGCGACGGACACGCACCTGCTAGCAAGCTCTGCACGTACCAGCAGGTGGAACGCGCAGCCAAGCACATTTCACACCCCACTTTGTGTCCACTCAGCTTTACAAGTCACTCTCAGGCCACGTGAAATACAAGCGACAGGCGGAGTACCTCTCATAGATGGTCTTCAGTGTCATTTGGTCTGGGACGCCCTCCGTCTCCTCCAGGTACAGGATAAGCCAGGACGTCCTGTAGGGCCACTGCTCGGTCAGGTTGATCCAGCTGGCCAGTCTGTCCCAGTTGAAGCTGATCTGATTGGCTCTCAGTAATCGCCCTGTCAGGAATGCAGCAACACTAAACATTAATATATAATAATAGGGTAAGCAGTGCATTTAAATGTACTTGCAACACTGACAATCTACTTCTTGAACTTTAAACACAGAAAAACCTTAGAAATGAATTGGAGACAGAAATCACCACATGTGTTCGAATTCTGATCCTGTGAGTGGGTGAAGTCGCAGAAATTGGCGGTGGGAAAGTGTGAGGACTTCTAATCTGACTTTTTGCTGCGCTTAAAACCCATCCTTCAGTTGATTAGCTACTGATGGCAGAGATGAAGATTTAGCCCCAGCCTGAGAGAACGCGAGTCTGCTGGGAGAGACGGGCTCCTAGGAAGACGCGTCGCGTGAACGCGGCCCCGGTGACACACACACGCGCAGTGAGGAGCTAGCGCTCCGAAACCTCATCCAGACACAGCGGCCGCGGGGTGTCCTGAAGGACGGAGCTGCAGCACAGCAAGCTCCGCAGGGTGCGGCCAGGCCCCCCAGGGAGGCCCGGGCAGGGGAGGGCCGAGGCGCGTTCCCTGCGTCCCCACAGGAGAGCGGCTGCCGTGAACTGGATGTGGACAATGGGAAACCATTTCAGAAGTGCCAGTGAGTGGCGATGGTGAAAGGTTTCTAAATACCCTAGCATAGAGTAGTTAAGCAAAAACTAGAAAGAAAAAGTTTTGCCCAAAGAATGCATCTAACACTAGTCTTAATTTTCTCCCCCGAAATAACCCAATGAAAAACTATGCACGAAACACAACTGAAAGATAAAGCATAATTTTGAAGGAAGAAAACCTCTTAACTAACCCCCAACACCTTATCTACTGAAATCCTATGTTATTTTCTGATATTAGTGCTTCTGTTCTTTCCTAAAAGCAGCAACAGATCACATGCATTCTTACATGCAAAATAACAGGTCTGCGCCGGAGGCGCAAGGCCCGGTCTCCTGCCTTCAAGTTCTTCCCAGATAAATCACGCATCTATTTATAAGAATAAAGTTTATTTTCCTACATACATCTAAGTAATGTGACCCAGTTAAATGAAATTTACCGTGAAGACTAACAAAAAACCCACTTAAATGCAAAGGTTTAAATCTGTACACAATTTTCAACATAGGCTGAAATTCCGTATTTACGCAAACCTGTGACACTGAGGTGCTTTTATAAAATGTTTACTTAGAAATCTTTCATGTTCAGGCAGAGCTGTATTTGATAAAAGCTAAAAATGTAGAATCTAGAAGGACTGCTATGTCGTTAAAAATTAATGTTGGAGAGGTTTGTTTACACTTAAAATGAGGAAATACGGGCCCTCCCTGGTGGCGCAGCGGGTTAAAGCACAGCACTGAGAAGCTTAAGCCACTTCAGCATGAGTTCGATCCCCGCCTGCCCTG